TTGATTTATGTTGCAGGTATTAATAGCAATGGTTCTAAAGTGAGTTTGGGGGATACCAGTAATCCATCCAATGACAGCGCAAAGAAATTCCCCACTGGTAGTGATGATAGTATCAACAAGAAAGCAATCAAGGTCAGTTCTGTGATTTCAATATGCCCTAAGATACTGAAAACTCTATCACAAACAAATCAACAGCAGTAATCATTAATTTGCTAGGAATTACTCATTCAAATATGTTTTTGCTGATGGTACACAATTGTTATGGACTTCAAGTAAAACTTGTCAGACAATACTGCTTTAACTACAGTCAGTTGGAGTTGTGTTACTGATGTTATGGTTTATAGTGTTTGTATTAAATGACATCATTATGCTCTATGTGATATGATAAAAGTATTTGTGACTGATTACCGGTAACATGGTAGTTGTTGCCATGAATTTATGTGTGTTGAAATAGACATAGAACAATTGGTCGGTGCGAGTAGCACTATTCCAAAATAGTACTAGATCTAGGGTAAAATAGTACTAGATCTAGGGTAAAATTGTACTAAATCTAGGGTCAAATAGTACTAGATCTAGGGTAAAATTGTACTAGATCTAGGGTAAAATTGTACTAGATCTAGGGTAAAATAGTACTAGATCTAGGGTAAAATAGTACTAGATCTAGGGTAAAATAGTACTAGATCTAGGGTAAAATTGTACTAGATCTAGGGTAAAAAAGTATTAGATCTAGGATAAAATAGTACTAGATCTAGGGTCAAATAGTACTAGATCTAGGGTAAAATTGTACTAAATCTAGGGTCAAATAGTACTAGATCTAGGGTAAAATTGTACTAGATCTAGGGTAAAATAGTACTAGATCTAGGATAAAATAGTACTAGATCTAGGGTAAAATAGTACTAGATCTAGGATAAAATAGTACTAGATCTAGGGTAAAATAGTACTAGATCTAGGATAAAATAGTACTAGATCTAGGGTAAAATAGTACTAGATCTAGGATAAAATAGTACTAGATCTAGGGTAAAATAGTACTAGATCTAGGGTAAAATAGTACTTGATCTAGGGTAAAATTGTACTTGATCTAGGGTAAAATTGTACTTGATCTAGTGATGAAATGTACACAATGCAAGAGGCATTTTTATAGTATTCTCAACAACGTTAAGAAATGACGCAAGTATATCACATAGTCCCACAAAAAATTTATTTATGTAAATTGTAAATCGTCCCAAATATAGTTTAGAGATAATTTCTGTGACAAAATGCACTATATATGTATATCAGTTCTTATACTTGCAATTTCCACAGAAAAAGTGACATTCAATGTCTGGAACTGTCACAAAAATATTTCATGCAGTGTCATTATCATCTACACGTCTTGATCTATTTCACATGCTGTATTAGGGATTTTTGTAAACATGCCATGGCCATGCGCCCCCTTACCCTGGGGAGCAGATCCTCTGGCAACCATAAAATTCTGATTGACCAGAGATCACATGTGGCCACAGTCTTCAACTGTGACCTGTGTGATAGTAATTTTGGCCCCAAGAAAGCCATAGAATTCTCCATTTTAGCTTAGAATTTTCAAAAACTCCACACCCTGGTAGGGAGAACCCTATCTCCCCCACTTGGTGGCGCCGCTAAATTTCAGTGTTCCCTCTTGCATTTTTTTTCTAGAAAAACCCCTGATGATTACATCAATTTTATTTTCCATAAGTAATCATAATCATAATCATAATAAGTAATCATAACAAATGTTATTGCTTTCAGGAATCTGATGTGTCAGTTTCAGCTGACGGTTTACGTCAACGATCTGCGGGTAGTGGTGTCCGTCCAATTACCGTGATAGGATCACGTAAAATCATGGAAAAAACTGAAAAGATTGAGTCTGATAACGAGTCTGAATATGATGAAGAGGCTGCTTACTTACTGAAGAAACAAGAAGATTTCATTGCTGTGGCTGGAGAGCAAGGTGTCTATTACAAGGTAATGATAACATTGGATATATTACTTGACTTTATTTGTTTGCAAATGCAATACATGTTTTAGAATAGGAATATCAGAGGTATTTTTTGGTTCAGTGAAGTGTGTATTGACATTATCGCTTGTTTGGACCATAGCTACCTATCAAACAGTTGTTTGAATATTCAGCAAATATTGGCAGACTCTTCTTAACGGATGATGCCTGTGATAGTTTTAGAGAGCAAACTTCATGTATATTAATTTATAGGATATGTAATACACATATTCCTAACTAGTATTACGAATATGACTTTATCGCTCACAGGGGTTGAGCTTAACTGACAAATAACCAAAAACGCTCCCAAAAGCTCTCTACAGTGCATTGTGATTTCATGTATCATATATTTGCTCCCATAGAAACACATGAATAATCCTATAGACGTGTACACCAAGAAGTTGTATTCCATGCTGCCGAAGACAGCTTTACTTGGTAAAAAAAAGAGAAAACGAAAACTGACCCATTTAGAAGAGCTTGAGCTTC